AGCTAAACAATGCTACAAATGAAAACAGAATTTGAGAAAGCAAAGCACGTCAATGGAAAACATCAAACTCCATTCACTCCAGAGTCACTCCGCCACTCCGGATCACTCCACTACTCCGTCCACTCCGGTTAAACTCCGCGGAGTGACGGAGTTAGCGGAGTACGGTGTTTCCCCCTTGGTTATATTGCAGATAAAAAAGCAGAATAGTCACATAACTGCAATAGCGGCTCCTGTTCGAAATGAGAAAGAAAAACAATCACATGCATCACAAGTATATGAGTACTGCCACAGATTACACATGTGCCGATGTCGTTCGTCGAAAAAAACCAATTATGTAAACCATGCAAAGTACATGTTAACAATTTGCTGCAGTATATCGTGTCTCCATATGTCTTCAATCAATTTAAACGTGCTATCAACTGTTGTTTTTTTATACAGTTCTGTTTCATGTATATTTTTTACATTTGGTTGTTATCCTATTTGTTTTTTAATCCATTCCTCTCTTTTTGCGTTGGCGAAAGTAGAGTTATTTACCCGGTTATGCTTTTTCTGTCTTTCATTCTGTTTTTCTTAACAATAGTTTATAAGTTTTAGTTTCACAAAAAGCACGTCTCTTTTAATTAATACTAATTTGTTTAAACACTATCTGCTGTTCTTCAAAATATCGGATTACAAAAAGCATGGAAATTACTGAACTGTCTAGATTAAACTCGATATTTGCCTACATTATAATCACACTGCTATGGTGAGTGCAATCAAAATATTACAGTTTTTCTTATAATAAAACCAATGCACTTTTCCTGATATATTGTAGTTAGGAATCACATCGCATCTCGACATTAAGGTTTATACATAACATTACACAAGAAAACATTTTATGTCAATTCAAAAACGGAACATGAGCAGTAAAGGACAAGTATATGTCTAGAGAACTGTGTATGAAATGGCAGAAATCATTCCTATGTATATTTATTTGTACGGTTATTCGTCTGTCTTTCTTATTGGTCTATTTGGAAATATATGTAGTCTACTAACATTTACTCATAAAACATTACGTCGAATATCTACGTCGATTTTATTTATATTCCTTGCTATATCTGATTTGACTTATTTACTGTTAATGATCTATGATTTTTTGCGAAATGGTTTACAGGTTCAAACTGATTATCCATCATCCTACGTTCAAATATGTCAATTTCGAAACTTTTTAACGCATTTTATTATGCTCTTCTCATCATGGATTTTAGTCATGGTTTCACTTGATCGATGGCTACGTACCAGGTATCCAGTTAAATCAAAATCAATATGTACTCGAAAATATGCTCTTCTCTCTGCAACAATCATTTGCATTTGTTCGACACTTATATGTTGTCATTATTTAACACCCATGTTTGGAGATCCGGATGAAAAAAAATATTGTGATCCTAAACACAAACAATATGCACTCTATTCAAAATTTATGAATGATTACTGGCGTATTGTCTATACTTGTATTCAAGTGATTATACCAACATTGCTTATGATTAGTTTTCTTGTACACATGTTCTATATCATTAAAAAAACAAAACAACAGACAAATGTTAGACGGAAACAACAATTTATCCAACATCAAATGTTTGTACTAACATTAACAGCTATTTTTGTTCATGTTCTAACAGCATTACCAAATGGTCTTTATCGTATTCTAGTAACACGACATTTAGTTGAATATGATGACTGGCATTTATTTGTTGTACAAACAATTTTATCATTTATACAATCTGTTAACTATGCCTCAAATTTTTATTTATATTGTTTAACGTCACCATTATTTCGACGAGAATATCTAAAAATTATGTGTAGAAAAAGGGTTCAAAGAAAAGTGGTTCCAACAGTACCACTTAAAAGTCGTCGTTTTTGCCAATCTAATTCTGTTTCTGTGAAAGAATGACATTAATTCTTATGTATGCTAAACTGTGGATTAACTGATCCAATTATTTAAATATAGTATTTTTTCAAAACTATTAAAGCTCATCACTTTATACTCCAATATCAATGATATAATGATACATTTTTGATTTGAGATTCTGCTAATATTGTGACCACTTTAGTGAATGGTGCGTATTACAATACATAATCTACCAACCCTACGTGTATGTGACAAGAATTGTGCGAAATTTATGCTCAAAATATTTCCTTGATATCGAGTCTCATTTCTAATGAAAGTTTTTGGTTACGTGTACATGTATATTTTAGCTTTTACACAAACTGTTCCATGAGTAGAAACTTTCGATGAAGTTGTTGACAAATTTCTGTTATTGTTTTCGTTAAGGGCGCCCTTACTTCCCGTCAGAAATTATCTCCGACACCATACATCCGATATTGACGAAACTTTCCATAAATGTTAAGCACAATAAGTCGGGAATGAAACGTAACTATAACGTTTTTACCGCAGAACCAGATATATATGAGTTTGTAGAGCAAGACTTTAACAGACATTTTCTGATAGAGGAAATCGAGCTGAATCCGAATATCACATTTATTTTGCTTTACGACCTTTCCTTCTCGATGAAAATTGCGAAATACTGAGGAGTATCCGAAAATCGGAAAAACCTATACTTCAGATGTTTTGCTTGTTGTTTTTTCTAGTTAAATTTTGGAGTTTTGAAACAGAGTTTTTCTGAATCAGCGTGTCAAACTGCATATGATAACGTATCTTTGAACTTTTCCACATCGCTCTTAGCCTTTGCAAAAAATTCATTTCTAAGAGAACTCAAAAACGAGACTCTCCGCTCGAAAAGCATCAGGTCTCTTGCTTTAAGAGATGAAGCCTTGTTTAACATAGTATTCGAACTGCCTTGCAGCGGCGAATAAAGTTATAACTGCAGATTTCCGAATTTTTGCTGATGATTCTTGAAGACTCAGTTTTCTGGAAAACAAGTTTTTCAGAAACTCTAAAAAATATCCAAAACCTTTCTTAATGAGGCATGATTGGATCAACGTTCTTAAAAAAAGCAGCATCATACGACGATAACTGAAAATTTTTGGATGAGGTTTCTACGAGAACAAAGTTTGTGAAAAATTTTTCGATGTGAGACATGATGATACAAGTATTCAACACTTACCCAGTTCTATGATTACGACCATCCT